CAGCAATCCCACTTCTAGATACTTACCCGAGAGAAATGAAACCCTTTGTCTACCCAAACACTTTTACATGAATGCTCATAGCAACTTTATTTGCAATCGCCAAAAACTAGAAACAATTCAAATGTCCCTCAACTGGGGAATAGATAAACAAAGTGTGACATGTCCACACAATGGAATACTCCTCAGCAATAAAAAGGAGGGAGATACCCACACGCACAACAACTTGGATGGACCTCAAAGGTACTATGCTGAGTGGGAAAAAAAAGCCAATATCAAAAGGTTACACACTACATGATTTCAACTTTATAACATTCTCAAAATGGTAAAGTTATAGTAACGAAGAACAGATGAGGGGCTCCTAGGGGTTGGGGTTCAGGGAGAATCCGACTCTACAGGAAAAACATGAAGTTTCTCCCTGTTTCCTGATTGTGATGGTGTTTACACAAACTACACAAGTGAACCATACACACACACACAAATAGATGCGAAAAGATTCAAAAAGATGTTTCACAAAAGAAGAAATACGAATGGCCAATAAGCATGAGAAAGTACTCGACATCATTAGTCAGCACGGAAATGCAAATCGAAACCACAATGAGATACCACTACACACCCACCCGAATGGCTAAAAAGATTTTTTAATGACAAAACCAAACGTTAACAAGGATGTGGAGCAACTGACACTCATATTTTGTTGTGAAAATGTAAAACGATACTATCACTTTGGGAAAAGTCCGTCAATTTCTCATAAAACTAAACATATACCTACTCTATGACCTAAAAATTATACTCCTAGGTATTTACCCAAGAGAAACAAAATGTTCACAAAAATTCTTGTAGAAGAGTGATCATATCAGGTCAATTCATAATAGCCCCAAACTGGAAACAGCCCCGGCATCCATCATTAAGAGAACAGATAAATTAAACTAGTCTAGTCATAGAATAGAATATTGCTTAGCAATAAAAACGAACGTACCACTGATACTCATAAATGACATATGTTAATCTAGAAAACTTTATTCTGAACCCATTTGGATCATGTGCCCTGGAGGAAGCCGGCTGCCGTGATGTGAGGACACTCAGGCAGCCTTGTGAAGAGGCCACGTGGGGAAGAACTGAAGCCTCCTGCCAATAGTCACGTGAGTGGACCATCTTGGGAGTGGATCTTCCAGCCCCAGTCAAGCCTTTATATGACTTCAGCCCCGACCAACATCCTGCATCCAACCACATGAGAGACCCAGCGCCATTCAGCTAAGATGCTCTGAAATTTCTGACCCACAGAATCTGTGCGACATAATACGTATTACTACTGTGGGTTGCTAGTTTAGAGGCAATTTTTCATATATCAATTGATAATTAGTAGACACGGTACTGTCACACAGACACATAGACACACACAAAATTGATGGGCGTGAACTAGTATCTTATTTTTAAAATAATTTAATAATATATAATACACCAAGAACAAAGCTTGGGTCATAAATGGATAGCCCAATGAATTATCACAAAGAAAACACATCTGTATAATGCCTACCCAAGGGAAGGAAAATCACATTATGTCACCAGCACACAGCACACACACACCTTCGCCTCAGTCGCCCTCTGCATCACTGCTCTCTCCTCTGCCCGAGGCTAGCTGTTCTCCCGACTGGTAACTCCATGAGTTATTTTTGACTGTATTTGAATATTGAAGAAATGAGATTCAATACTATGTATTCTTTTGTGTCTGGCTTCTTTCACTCAACATGGCTAATAAGATTCATCTTCAGTGTCTATCGTAGCTCTAGTTCATTCATTTCCATTGCTGTATAGGATTAAATCGAATTAATATACCCCGAAAATATGCTGAGTGAACATATTATGTGATTCTATTTATATTAAAATCTAAAACAGATAAAACTAAAATATGGTAGAAAAAAACAGACCTGTGGTTACCTCTGGGAGGCTAAGGGCAAGGCTGACTGCTAAGGGCATCGGGGAACTTTCTGGGGTGATGGTTATGTTCTATATTTTGATGGGGGTTTGGGTTACATAGGTGTATGCATTTGTCAAAACTCCGAGAGTATAACTTAAATTTTTGCATTTTATTGTATTTTACAGCAAAAGAAAAAGACCTAAACACATACTGAAGGCTTATTAATGATATTCATACTGAATTATTTAGGAGGAAGTGTACTTATGTCTGAAACTTTGAAATGCATCCAAATTAACAGAATAAAAGGATAGAGGGATGGATAAATGCACAAATTTGGGCTACAGCAAGCACAGAAATATGTTGACGATAGAATCTAGGCCATGAATAAATGGGTGCTCAATGTTAAAGGCTTCCAAGTTTGCTACATGCTTCCAATTTTTTTTTAAGATTGGCACCTGAGCTAACATCTGTTGCAAATCTTTTTTTTTTTCTTCTTCTGCCCAATTCCCCCAGTACATAGCTGTATATTCTGGCTGTAGGTCTTTCTGGCTCTGCTATGCGGGACGCCGCCTCAGCATGGCCTGATGAATGGTGCCATGTCCACACTCAGGATCCGAACCAGCGAAACCCTGGGCCGCTGAAGCAGAGCACACAAACTTAACCACTTGGCCATGGGGCCGGCCCTACAATTTTTAAATATAAAATGTTGGAAGAAAGTAGATGACCAGAAAGGGAATTACAGTAGCGCCAATGTTTTCTTATCTAAAAATGAGACCTTCATGCACAGGTCTTGGTTTCTAAAAACTATTCTCAAATCAAAGGAACGAGGGCTCCTTGGAGAAATGGCTGCTTCTAGGACAGGCAGGAAAAACATAACATGAGCCTGCAGCATCTTATAGTGTCAGAAAGTAAGGAAGTGCTCAAAAAACACAAGAGGATGGGGCATGGCAAAGGGATCCGGGAGACAGCTGAAAAGGCTCCCAATGGCCAAAGCCAGAGCAATTTAAGCAACAAAATAAATAACGGACTATTGGATTATAACCTGAAGCATAAAATAAACACACAGGAGTCCATGCTGATATAAATAAAGAGTTTAAATAAATAAATACATGAGGGAAAAGAGGCAAATCTCCTGTAATAAACAATTTGTGTAGCTACTCTCCCCTCCAGAAGGGGGAGGTTAACCCTCTCCACACATCGATACTATGCCCTGAGTGTCGGCTGCGCTCAGTGACTCGCTCCCAAAGGGGAAAAAGTAATTTTACATGGCGAAACTTGATAACCTCTCCCCTGCCCGTGGGATCGAGGTGGACGTCATGGCCACAAGCCATGTTGATAGCATGTAGCTCCTGATATGAGGGGACGAGAAGGGCACTCTTCCTCTGTGATATTCTCCCTCACATCCATAACCTCAGTCCAAATGTGAGAAAAAGATCAGACAAACCCAAACTGAGGGACGTTCAACAAAATACCTGACCAAGACTCTTCCAAAGTGTCAAGGTCATGAAAAACGTGGAAAGACTGAGGAACTGTCACAGACCAGAGGAGACTAAAAAGATGTGACAACAAAACACAATGTGGCCTCTTGGACAGGATGCTGCAACAGAAAGAGGACACCGGGGCAAAACTAAGGAGATCCAAGGACAGTCTGGAGCTTCATTAATAATAATACCCAATACTGCTTTCTTAGCTTAGACAAATGTCCTGTGGCTATGAAAGATGTCAACTACAGGGAAGCTTGGTGAGGGTTGGATGAGAACTCTCTATTATCTTTGCAACTTTTCTATAAACTGAAAATTATTCCAAAATAAAAACTCCATTTTAAAAAGAGATACCCAAGGGAACAACAAAAACAAAAAAGACTTTTGTGTCTTAAGGAAAAAAAAACTTTAAAAAGACACAACAAACTAAAAATCACTTTTAAAAAGTGGTTGTATGACTTTTCTCAAAATATAAATCAAAAATCAGTTTTAGTCCAAAGGAAAGCACATCTCCGGATACCAAATTTGAATGCCCTGTGACTCGGCGCCTCTCCCTTGACCTCCACGTGATTCCAGGCATGACATTCTGGAACAAGATGCTAATAAGAACTTGAAAATCAGCCGTGGTTTTGAAGCACAGCTCTGCTTCAGGAAACCGTGCCTGGTCCCTGCTGTAATTTTGCTCGGGAGACACCTCCAGCTCAGCCCAGGAGAAACTCTGTCTGTCTATCTCCTCTCGTGGAAAATAGCAAGAATCAGAAGTGCTCCATCTCCATTGAAAAGTGAGGTACAACCCACTGCTGAGCACACACACAGAGGAAAGGGGGCTGTGAAGAACAGACCCCAGAGGCGGGGAGCAGAGAAACGAGCCTCCTTCTAGGAAACACCGCGGCCAGCATCACAACGCGCCCTCCACCCGCGAAGCCGCAGCGCCACCCCTGAGCCGCACGCAGCGCCTGATGAACGGACCGTGAATGGAAACAGAAACTGTTGAATCATCTCGTGGTAACTGTCAAAGTCTACAGGCCCTGAGCCAACGTGGGCGCCTGAGAAAACGCTGAGAGAGGGCTTTCTAAGGACTGTAATTTCATCTTAGCTGGGAAGTTCACCCAACTGAGCAGATGCATATTTGCTAATTCTCAAAGTCTATAAAGGTAGCTGGAAGAAAGACTTAGGAAGAGAGAGAAAAGGGAGAAAGAGGAAGACAAGATCCCCTTCAGCAGCGACAGAAACCTGCCAGGAATCCCTGACAAGAGGCACTTCCAGTCCACAGCCCTGCATCCTGGGCTCGCCAGGGGATTGACTGTGGGCGAAGGCACGTTCCCTCTCCATCCTTCCTGTTCTCCTTCCTTCCTTGAGCTTTCATGAAGCACCTGCACCGTGCTAAACACTACAAATCCACAGCAAGTCAGGTCCGTTCCTACCTCAAAGAGCTCAGACTCCAGCATGGAAGACAGAGGAGTAGAAGGAGGGTCCCCACACAGTGTGGCACAGGACAAATTTTACACAGTGGCCTTAGACCTCCAGTGGCCAGGGCTGTCACCACCTCCCGGGAAGAGGGCACGTTGTTTTCTGGAGCGGAAAGCTTCTGGTTTAGCAATTACCTTTACTTGGTCCTGTCCGGAGCAGCTGCAGGGCCGGTGAGAAGGCAGAGGAGTGAGAACCCAATCGCTCTGCACAATTCGCCGAGAAGTGGGGTGTCTGTGGGCAGAGAGAGAGGAAGTCCCCAGGAGGGAGGAAGCGGGGAGGGGAGGCAAGGAGGAAAGGGTTGGAAGGGGGTGATGAGGAAGTGAAGTGGAAATATGGCCAAATGAGCAGAGGATAGGAACAGATAGAATCTCCCAAGACAAAAACACAAACTGTCGACAGACTCAGAAATGCTTCTTCCCTAGGCAGAGGTGTGTGTGGCAGACACTGCTGGCTCTTCCTCCCCGGCCAGGATTCTAGGTGCTACACCAGCCCAGCCGGAGGGGCGGCTCCTGATTGGTCCAGACTATCACAGTGATCCCAGCCTCCCGGACTGTGATTGGCTTAGAAATGAGACTTGATGCTTCAAGCAAGGAGGGTTATTTTTTAGGGTGCATTTGAGAGGTGCTGAGGCTGCAATGGCACACGAGAGGTTAGCTGAGAAAAGAGAAATGGGTGTGCAGCAGCAACAGAGAAGTGTATGGGACGCCGCCTAGTCCTGTGGTCTAGGGGGATAACCAGGCCTCGACTCCCCGCTGTGGCCACGCTCTGCCCACAGGTTGGTGGAGTCTGGGGCTCCTTGTTTCCAGCTTTAGTATCAATGTGACACTATCGGTCACCCAAAAGACGTTTTTGGTGGAACATTACTGTACCCAAATTCTGCAGGCATCTAGACTGGAAATCCATCATCTTCAATGACAAATGCATTCAACAACTGTGTCGGAAGTACCCTCAAAGAGTCAAACAACACACACAGGAGCCAGCGGCCCCTACAGGACCCTGAGAGCCACCTGTCCACCGACCTGTCCATTTATAAGTAAATGGGGACTGGGAAGATGGACATGGAGAGTCCCTCAAGGGCCAATTACAACCTGGACTTCAAGGCCTGAGATCCCTGAAGGGCCAAGAAGAGGTTGAGTCTGAACTCTCCCAAGGCTACCAGGAGGGATGGGGAGATACTCAGGGGGTGCAGGAGCGGAGTCTCCCGTGCTGTCTGCAGCAATCACAATAGGTCCATAGATAGTGTCAAAAGAAACACAGGTTTGCACACGTTCCATTAGGCCATCGCCGTGAAGAGAAGGATGGACAATCAGAGCCCACGGCTCGGCTCCACCATCATCATTCGGCTATGGTCATAACCATGTAAGAACCATTCTCAGCTCCTAGAATCGAACCACTGGCAAAGCCTTATTTACGGAGGGAGAACGGAGTATAACCTCTGTCGGCTTTGACGTCGTAAGGTGGAGGATGGAGAGAGGTGAACTTAGAAAGACGAGAGGCTATTGAAACTCAGTGCCACAAGGTAAATAAAAATAACACGGGGACACACTAGCAGGAGGTCACAGGGGAGTCTCCCTCCCTTGCAGGGAGAGAAGCGGGCAGAGGCAGCTGCACTCCCCACTGCAGGACGTACCCGAGAACAGCTCTCAGTTCTGCATCCTCACAGCACTGTAAGAACGGCTTTGGTTAGAGAACAGACCCAGATTTCCTAGGAAATTGCAGCACCTCCCGAAGCAGCAGGAGGAATGCGCGCTCATGACCCCTAACGTCTACACAGAGGTTGGTCCTTGCATGTATAACACCTTCCTTTGGAATCACTCAGCAAGTCTCCACCCAAAAGAGCCATTGTGCTGCCAATCTTCAGATCAGGGTCACGGCAAGAGGAAGGTGGAGGGAGCCTCACAGGCAGGACCCAACCTCCAGTCTAAGGCAGCCATGCCTGTGCTGGGCTCTTCCATGACATACTGCAATCACTGCAACGACCCAGAGACCAAGGGAGAAGCTGACGGTGGGGGCCGAGTGCTTTTGTCTGCCCGGCATCCATTTCCCCTTTTCTGAGCCCCATCACCCCAATTTTTCTTCAGCAGCCACCCACCCCCTCCCCCAACCACATGGTTCTGATTTGTGACCCCACACCGGCGGCCACTTCAAGGAAAGCCAATGGCGATGGCCAGCTGGGCCAGAGAGGGAGGCTTGGGCCAGGCTGGGAGCCAAGAAGAGTCTTTCTCTTCCAGCCTGGTTGCTGAGCTGTCAGAGCTGCGCCCAAAGGTCCAAAGGCCACGAGGTGGACAGGGCCTGTGTGGACATGAGGAGAGCAGAGCTGGAGATTCCTGACAGTGTCACCCGAGCACCTGAATTCCAGCCCCCATGCCTGAAGCCCATGTGAGCTGCATTTCTGTCTCTGCAACTGAAACAAGAGTGGCTACTCAGGCTAATTAGGGTGCCTCGGGTTGCAAGCAACAGAAACCCAATGCACAGTGGCCTGAACAGCAAAGGGGACTTACTACCTCACGGAATTTGGGAGGCCGGACATGGGGCAGGCTTCGGGGCAGATTTGACACTGTGGCTCCGTGATGTCCTCAAAACTTGATGTCTCTCCACTCTGCCTGTATGGGTCATTTTATCCTAGGGCTGGCTTCCCTCATGGTGACAAAACAGTTGCACTACAGCCGACTTCACATACAAACTCCAGCCTGTCCAAATGAGAGGGTGTGCCTCTCTGGCAGATCTCTCAGATAAGCAAGGGAGCATCTTTCCCAGGAGCACCCAGAAACCTCCCTTCAGATTTCATTGGCCAAAATCAGGTCACATGACTATTCCTAAACCAACCGTGTCACCAAAAAGCTGTTGTGCACTGGTGGCTCCCTTGGGGTTACAAGCCAATCCCTGTGCCAGGGGGTGAAGTGGCTGGTCGGCTTTCCCTGAACCACACAGCCTGTGGGAGATGGGCATGTGCCCAAATGAAAACCTAGGCGGTGTTGGGAAGGGGGCATGATGTGAAGGGAAATGCTTACTTCATTAATACTGCGGCAAATGCGGAAGCAAAGAAATTATTATTAGCCCACGATCTTCTCTCTGGGAATTTCTCAAATTAAATTAGTAAACATAATTTATAATTATCAAATCCTGCAGATTCCACCTCTTAACTACCTCTGCCCTCTCCTCTCTACATTTTTCATGGGAACCATTCCCTTTTTAAACTTCATTGTCATCTTTGATGTCCAATAAATTATAAAATATGGAAAGCATGCAACCAACAGCATGCCTTGGGAAGGGCCCTGTGAGGGCAAAGTGGGACCCCGAAGTCTCTTGGCCTTTGACAGCCAGGGGATTTAGTTCCTTTCTCTAGACCACTCTCTCTCAGTCTCTCAGTCTTTCTCTCTTCCTCTCTCTCTCTGTCTTTCTGTCTGTCTCTCTCCTTCCCTATATCCTGAGGAGGGACCCTTGGCTAGTCTTTTATTTTCTTTTCTCCCAACTGTTCATCCAACCAAGAAATAAGTGAGCTCTCTAAAACCTCAACTGGGAGGCAGCGTGGTCTAAGTAATCATTTTAAAACCATGATAAATGCCCTCACACCACCGGAGAACTCAAATAATGACAGTAACTTATAACCACACCCATGTGCTCCCGTCCATCTCCCGCCTTCCCCCTCTAACCCTCTGGAATCTTGGTTTAGCATTCCTTTGCTTCCATTTTGTAGGTTTTTCTCACATGGCCGTACAGGATCTTCTGGGACCAAAGACGCCATCTGTTCACGAGTGTCATGACCACAGATCGTGATTGGCCCAGCTTGGGGCACCTCCCGTCACAAAAAGGCAGCAGTGGGCAGCGCAGAGGTAGGCACCAGAAGGTCCCTGGGAGAGCGGACGCTGCTGTTGTCCTTGGTAGTGTTGAGAGTCCAGGCCCGCAGGTCAGCTGCCTGCATTCAAATCCCCACTGGGCTTCTCGGGGCCTCAGTTTTCCCATCCATGAAGTGGGGACGCTAATAGCACCAAAATCACAGGGCTGCTACCAGGATGAGAAATGGGCATAACTGACCAGCACCAGCACCAGCACCTGTGACACAGTAATAACAGTACCGTAAGACATCCTCATCGGCATCATCATCACCAGCGTTAAACCCTCTCGTGCTTGCTGTGTGCCACACACTTGGTTCTCAGCGCTTAGTGTGCTTCATCTCACTGAATCCTCCGAACGCCTCTCTGGAATCTCAGATGAGTCAAAGGAAGCACAGCATGCTTACGTAACGTATCCAAGGCCACTAGGTCCTCAGTGGTGGGGCAGGATTGAAACAGCGGCCTGGGGGCTGGCCCCGTGGCCGAGTGGTTAAGTTCGTGCACTCCGCTGCAGGCGGCCCAGTGTTTCGTTGGTTCGAATCCTGGGCGTGGACATGGCACTGCTCATCAAACCTCGCTGAGGCAGCGTCCCACATGCCACAACTAGAAGGACCCACAACGAAGAATATACAAATATGTACAGGAGGGCTTCGGGGAGAAAAAGGAAAAAAAGAAAAAAAAAATAGAAACAGTGGCCTGGCTCCGAAGCCCACACCTTGGCGACCACTATCTTACGTCACAGCTCAGGAAAAGCTGGCTCTGTCAGTGTCAACAGGTGGTTCTATTTAGATTTCATCACCAGCTTCTACTCTTTGTAGAGTTTACTTTCGACTCATTTCGGTTCCTGGAGTGGACATCCCCCTGTGACATTTTTTTCCTCCAACCAAAAAGAAAAAGAAGATGGAGAGAGAGAGAGAGAGTTTTGGGGGTTTTTTAAGACTTTTAATTTTTTTAGAGAAGTTTTAGGTTCACAGCAAAAGTGAGGGGAAGGTACGGAGATTTCCCATATATCCCCTGCCCTCACACATGCATAGCCCCCCCCCCATAATCAGCGTCTCCCACCAGAGTGGTACCTTTGTTACAACTGATGAACCCGCATTGACACATCACAGTCACCCAAAGTCCATAATTTGCATTAGGGTTCACTCTCAGTGTTGAATATTCTATGGGTTTGGACAAACGCATAACGACATGTATCCATCATTATGGTCTCACACAGAGTATTTTCACTGCCCTAAAAATTCTCCGCGCTCTGCCCATTCATCCCTCCTCTCTCCACCCCAAACTCCTGGCAACCACTGGTCTTTTTACTGTCTCCATAGCTTTGCCTTTTCCAGAATGTCATACAGTTGGAATCACACAGTATGTAGGCTTTCTAGACTGGCTTCTGCATTTAAGTTTTCTCCATGTCTTTTCATGGCTTAATAGCCCATTTCTTTCTAGCACTGAATAATATCCCATTGTCTGGATGCACCATAGTTTATCTGCCCATTGACCTTTGGAAGGACATCTTGGTTGTTTCCAAGTTTTGGCAATTATAAATAAAGCTGCTGTAAACATCCATGTGCAGGCTTTTGTGTGGACATAAGTTTTCAACTCTTTTGGGTAAATACCAAGGAGCAGGATTGCTGGATTATA